TCAATTAGTTTTAATGTCTGTAATTTGAACATTAATCTCTCGGTTTAGATTTAGTTTCCGTTTATATTGTTGATTTAAGTATACTCGTACTTCTGTTTTTAGAATGTATAAATAGTACATACAAATAGTTATAATTTACGACAACTTTTGTTCCTATTGTGAAGCACTTCTTCCGTTAGATTGCATACGATATGTACACAGATTGCAAAAAATACTTTTCGAAATGTTGAGAAGTCTCACTGCTTAACTTCAAATTCACGGTTATCATAAGCTAGTCGAGAATTTACTTCGTAATATGGTTCATAAACATGAGAATTTCAATTATGCGCCTTGAAATTCACTTTGACAATGGGTTGCAGACTTCCCAAATACATGCTCTTTAGACTCCTCGATAATTTGTGGAAAGAATCGAAAAATAAATGGAGTACTTACTTTCAGTTTCCAAATAATGTTTTCATTTCACGTTCCTAAATGTATTTTATGAACAAAGAGTTCAGATTGTAAATCATATTCAGGCGTATTGTAGTACAATTTAATAAATAAAACAACTCATCATATAAGACGTGTGACAAGAAATAATTACTTGTTCACAATTTTACAAGTATTGCATTAAAAAAATTTTTTATTGCCAAAGATCTCAGTATTAATACAAAAATGTTAAAGAAAAACATTTTTACTTGTTAAGAGTAGTTAAAATTGCCAAGACAGGTATTACAGCTATCAAGGTTATCCATAATATGAAAATTATCTGGCTACGTTTAGCTGAAGAAAAGCAGGAAGAATGTGTGACATTTTGTGCAAATTGAAAATGCTATTGTATTTAATGGTGACATCTTTTGTATACTAGGAAAATGTTGAATATACACCAGAAAATAGTAGTTGTATTACAATTATTGAATTCTACTTCTGTTGAAAATAAAAGTTTACATAAAAACCATCTCAATTTAATTTGAGTTCACTCCAAAATTTCTAAATAACGTTTCGCCACTTCTCATTCCGTTTATCCTATTATGTTTTGCTTCTTAACTGTCATTTTAAAACACCCAATGATAATAAATCTCTAAAAATTGCATACTTCACTTTCAAAGTCACAAACAAGTTCTCAGTTGTCTCAGCACGGCTATAATAAACTTGGGCCTCAACATGCCTGTAACGAGTAATGAATGTGCTTCTCAGTTAATGACCCCCATTTCTATCAGGTTTTCTGTCAGTTTGCCTGATCCAATGCTGACATGGCTGCTTGTTTTGATTCTGGACATAAATGTGGCTTCACTACGCTCACATTTTTTCGAGTGCATCGAATTTGAGAGCACTATGAGACTTCACTGGCTGCAGTTACAAGTACAATGTCGTAAGTACAATGATAAGCACACCTACTCACTGAGGAGTTCGGAGAACTCAACTGTTTCCAACGGTTTTCGACAAAACCTGAAAATCGAGCCATTCGAACTTTCAAAATGAACTTGAGTAAAATGGCAAGGTGTTTTTAGTGAGCCCTTATTAATGAAGGATTTCACTGAGTTTTAGTTGGGTTGTCACGGTTTTATTAATTGTCAAGCATTGTGGGAAAACTTACGAGATATCACTGTTCGTCGAGAACAAAGAACATTTAGTTATCATGAAGTTTAAGAACACGTTTTGACGGTGCAGAAGTATAACCCTGCAATTCGTTATTATATTCGACAACTTTAGTTACCCCCAAAAAACTGGTTAATACAAGGCAATTTGTGGTGACTAGTTATAAGATTTACAAGTGGCTATGTGAAAGTGTCAATGCTCTTTTGACATTAAAAGACAAGGTCAATAAAAGAAACTTGAAAAAAGATTGGATAGCGGCTGGATTGCAGCAGCATTACATTACAGCAGAATCAGCAGAGGCTCACAAAATTCAGAATATTTCAGGCAATGAATTTTAGTTTTATCTCATCTCAAACGTTTTGTCTATTTGACGTTCGTTGTCACAGGAAATAAAATAAACTAAAGAATTATATAGCAATATGATGAATGACAATTCCAATAAACGTAGGTTTCTAGAAGATTTATTGAAAAGAACGTGCAGAAATAATTCCAAAAAGATTAACGTAGTTTAAAACACACAACGTCCTACGAAAAATATTTCCGAATATTCCACCTTTCAATCGCTTAAAAAAATTATAATGTACTAAAATGAGGCCGGATTTATTCCACAATAATATATTTTTGATGTTACAAATCGTTGAAATATATTTCTCCGTCCGTATTACATCCAGTACATGATCCGATTCAACAGTATTTCAGGAGGGGGGCAATTTCAGTTCGGACGCCCCTCAAAGTTTTTGAAACAAATGGCAACTTCAAATAAAAATATTACATTATCATCTAAATTACTGTTTTAAATGCATTTAAATTAACTTGCTAATTGTAAATAATTGAGCAAATAAAAACAATGGTTTTGTTGTACCCACATTTTGATCAGCTACTAGGGTGTATTCAGAAACTAATTTCAGAATTGACCCCCATAAATATTTTTGAAAACAATGTTAGCTTGAAATTTAAAAGCTTATACCTATATTAATAACGGTAAAACTACTGCTTTGAGTGTGAATATATTAATATTCTGAAATTGTAATAAATTGAATCCACTTGCAAAATTATTTTGGCTTCGAGCGGAGAGTGTGTTCTTTCCTCAGATCAGTCCCTGACCATATCAAGTACATCGATTTCGTAGCAAATAACCAAATAAAAAGTTGCAATTTTTGATGACTGAATGTGAAGTACGTTAAATTATTCTTACTGAAACTTAGATTATTCGTATTGAAACTTCTTTATGTCTTGACGTAAACATTATCAAGGAGCAACATCCAAATTTTAAAAAATTACAGACATTTCATAAAATATTTTTCCTTAGACTGCAAACTAAATGCACAAAAACGAGGTTTCCAAAGAAAAATACAAGTAGTAGAAAAACTCAATGGCAAATTAAAATTACTCACCTGCCGGTGATATTCTTAACGGTGATCGTAATACTCGTGGTCTCTCCAAGGCTGAGGGTAAACGTCTTCAACACTACACTTACGAACATCACGAAGTTTGCATTTTGCACTTGATACACATTGCAACACAACACACACGAGGAATAATAATCGCACATATTTTCTGGCAAAAAGCATATCGACTACCTTCCTTTAAAGTTCAGTCAGTACCAGACAGCACAGCTGGACTGTCGCTTAGAAGAATGGCAGCTTCATTACATCTCCGTAAGAAGCGCCTCGATCGAGGTATAGATACTACGTAAAAATTGTGTACGCATTCCTGAGATCTCATTTTGACAGATGCAAGAGGGCTGAGAATTAAGTTATTAAGTCAGCAGTCCAAATTTGATGTGTTAGTAATGCTGACTAAATAAGCGCATAGATAATAGCTAGCTGACTAAACAAGCGCATAAAACGCATAGTTGAATTATGAATACATAGCGATGAGCTTTGTTGTTACGAATTAAATACGTAAGCTCGTTTCCGAAGCAAATACATACTATTATACGGTAGCGAAGGACGTCTTGTTATCAAATCAACAACAACGTCATCGCTAATATTATTCATAATTCAACTATGAGTTGTAAAAGTAGTCAGGATTTTGGATCTCAAAATACGTATGCAGATAATACTTAAAGTGCAGCTAAAACCACTAGGCTACTAATCCGGTGAGGGAATTAATGCAAGACTGGACACGACATAAGTGGCTGCTTGACAAAAAATTAGATTCGACGATATAATTGGTGAAACATATTGATAGATTATTACGGCTAACAGAAAAAATAAGCTCTGATTGAAATTTCATTTCTCAAATTTATTTACTTTTTTATTTATTCTCTACAGTAATCCAGCAGAAAGAGAGAGACACAGTGTGTCGGGGGGCTAAACCGACTTAAGCGGCTCGGGACATCTATTGATATCACTTCACTGCCTCTGACCTGGAGGACCTAGAGTTCGAGTCCGGATATTGGCGAGATTTTCTACACTAGCTATATAGCTGGGTAGAGTTCGGGCGCTATCTGGAGGAGAACTCTAATGGCCGGCTGCTCTAATCGACAGTTTTCCGTGGTTTCACGGATCAATTCCAGGCGAATGCCGGAGCAGTGCCCTAACGAACGGGCCAAAGGCGCGCAATCTTTTCCTTCTTCTTGCTATTCTTGTCCTATCCTCATACCTTATTCACACACACACACACACAAAGGCACTATACTGGTGTATGTGCTGTATATACTGGTGTACTACGCTAGTGTATGTCGTCAGAGCAGACAAGTATGATACAGTTCTTTGATGTATGAACGAAATGATACACGTTAAAAAGAAGAAAATGAGAAAAAGTGTATGTTTGCAGTAAATACAATAAATAAGACGTAATGATAATGAAGTGTCAATTCATCGATACCAAATAAGACAGTAGTATTGTCAGCAAGATAAGTATACAAGATATTTACAAATTTTAATAGATGTTTATATCAGGTTTCAATTAACTACCAGTACGTTGGCCAAATACTGTGATCTACTGCACTGTCTTCCCTGAATTCACATCCATGTTACATTTAATTCATCCAATTGAAGAAAATTAAACCTGATTTTGTAAAAATAATTTAAACAAGTATGTTATCACTTTTTCATCAACTTTCTACGCCTGAAAATGGACCAGCCAGGCAACAATATATTGTGTAAAATTTATTTTTATTCTGCGTTTGAAAAGCAGAATAAAACGTTTTACTTGAAAACATTCGGTTTTGGCGCCATCGCTAAGCTAATTTAATAATATATTTTTATGACAAATTTAATTCCTAAAATTGGATAGTATTGCCCATGATATTGAAATACAATGGAACAAAAATTACTTTATTATTACTTTACAATAGAAACTTGAAACTGTTTTGAAGCTTTAAACAAACAATCAGCTCCGGTTAGTATTCCAAGGTACATACAATACAATCGTACTATTCAAACTAAGGGCAAACAATTAAAACCACTTCAATTTCAAAAATGCTGCAGACCTAACTCCTGTGAAGATGCTGGAATTGGTGCTTTGGGTTTAGGTGTATTCCACGGCTGAATTTCTCCAGAACCGTACATAGTATACACAATGCACATGATGAGAAGTAGACAAGCCACAATATCAAATGCAATGCTCCATTGGGCCAACGTGTTCTGTTGACAGAAAATAACATTCCTAGTCACTGTGCTTATTATACGTCTTGGCTTTGTTATATCCAAAGTATTATTCAACCGATTACACAATCATACTAATCACTTGATTCCAAAAACATCTTTGTATCAACTAATACGATCAATTGTGCAGCAGTAATAAAGAAACGATTGCCAGGAATTATATCTTTTTTGTTTTCATTTTATGTACAAAACGATGGAACTTTTATTGAATTTCATGGATTGATCTGGAGGTTGGAAGAGAAAAAAACTGTGTGTCTTTAGATTGAAGCTGAAAATTCCAAATCGTTTGTTAAACTGTTTTTGTGTTAAACTGTTATATATACCATAGACTTTTTGTTGATTCTGAGATATAATACATTTTCATTAATAAATATGAATATTTCGATTAAGACCCGATAATTTCCAAAACACTGCCTGCCAAAAAAAGTGTTGCACCCAGAAGGAGTGGTCCAATATTATTCCATTTCGATGTACTGCATACTTTTGATGTAGGAGTAAACGATTCACACATATCTGTAATGCGTAGAACGCCCACCAGAGTGTATTCGTGATGTCGCCGCCATGCTGTTCCGCAGTTGTAATCAGTCAACAGCTGTGTGTCAGGCTGATGGTCGACGTTTACGCGCTGTACGAAGTACCTGTGATCGATAGCCTATCCCCCCAATTGACTGCATTTGACAGAGGCCGCATTGTGGCACTTCGTAAAGGCTGGTTGGTCGTATCGCGCCACTGCCTGGCATGTGGGCCATTCAGATGTCACGGTGCCCCGACGTTGGAATCAATGGGTCATATGAATAAAAATGAGCACTTGCTCATGAGTACTTGCTCCGGAGCAAAGTGAGACCACTCCGCGGCACTGAGCAGAAGCTCCATTTCGTGTGAATAAAAACTTCGTATGTCTCCGAAGAACTTACTCACGTCTCGCGAGCATTTGCTCGTCGTGAACAAGTGATAGTGCAGGCTAAGAGTTTTAAAAATTGGGTTCTTGAGCAAACAAAGAGTACATACATTACGACGCCGCGCGCACATTTGTGCCGAATAAAGAGCCAATAGTTTGTTGTCTCATTCTTAAATTAGAATATAAATAGCAGTAACCAAAAACAGGCGCTAGTTGCCCAAGCTAATTTTACAAATGCTAAGTGAATATAAAATTATTTTGAAAAGAGACGCTTTCGGAAGTACGCTGTGGCGAAACGATACATTACAAAGTTTCAAACAAAAAAATATCCCGAAAAATTCCAAGTAGAAAAAAGCGATGGCCAATTAACATAGAAGATATGCAATATGAAAACGCGCCTGAAAGCAAACTCCGATAAACTTGTACCAACCATACATTCCGATTCGGCAAAGATTCTAAATATCTACATCACGAGAATTTCGCCTAACTTACTTTTTTTTTAGTCCGCTGAATTAATATCAAAACTCACGTAAAAAAATCGCAATTTAACCTTACTTTTTCAAACGGAGTCTGCTACTAAGTCTCCGAATTTTGGAGCAAGTGCTCACTCTAGAGAGTAAACGCTTAAACTTATTCATACCAATTCTGAGCATTTGCTCGCCAGTTGAGAGTAAGCTCAGACTGAAGCAAGTACTCAGAGACTGAGCAATTGCTTAACCGAACCACTTATTCATACGAAACTGAGTAAGATCTCGGAGCAAAGAGTACTTGCTTTACTTTTATTCATACCACCCAAATGAGTACATTGAGGACATCCGTGCACGTCGGTGCAGGCTCGGGGTCGGGACAAGAAACACAAGGGAGGACTGTTGAGCAAGAAATTTTCCTAAGGATGGGATGAATTTGACAGCTAGTGCTGGCAACAACAACTGACGATTCCTGTGTCCTTGAACTTATAGACTCTCCTTCCTCCATTCGTATTGTTTGCAGTTCGGCTAACTTGTAAAAAGCTACGAACCAATGCCCCTGCTGTGATGTCCTCGTCGACGAAAACTATAGTGGGCCACTGAGAAAAATAATTGCAAATTTAGGAAGTGCAGAGCTTTGTGCTTATATGGTAAAATTCGTTTTTTAATAAAAAATATAATTGAATTTAGTTTTATGTGATAAGTATATGTTTGGTTTTAAAATCGGGAGTCTTGTAATGTGAGATACGTAGTCGCCACGGGTGCACGTTTCCGGCAACTGTGCTGTGTGGCATAACATTAGTGAAATAAATAAAACATCATTGTGGTTAAGCCCATTTTGCTGTGAAACGTTCGAGAAAGGTATTTGAACGTCCCCCTGAAATCAATTATTTCTTTCTATTTACATTCGTGGCTAAGTTTTCTTTTATTGAATGTGATTAATTACGTTAAGAACCATTTTCCACTTTATGTAAATAAATTTCTATCATTTCCCGGACTCGCGTGCGGTGCATATAACTAAGCGAAACTCAGACATCCTCTTACAGTGATGTTTCGCGTGAACCGTAAACAAACCCTACGAAGGGGCGTAACTAAACCAGACTGACGCGGCGGAGGGATACTTCTCTGAAGTAACGTGATGTTCACGTTTGTTTTTGCCGAATCTGTCCACTTTATCACATCCTTAGGAAAAAAATTCTTTCTATATACGGTGCGCCAAGGGCGGCGGCGGAATCGCCGACGTCGGCATCCGCCATCCGCGAACACGTTCTGGCGACTCCACAACAGCCTGTGAGCTCCCGTACAGAGTCACGACGACTCGTATCCGCCGGATCGAGGTCAGGCTGCCCTATGCGTCGGTTGCCATTGGCGCCACAACCCCGACGTCGGCGTTTCGGTTGATGCCGTGCTCGGGAGGCGTCGATAGAGAGCATGGATTGCGTCGCATCGTATTCAGTGACGAGTCCGATGACCATCGTTGTTGAGTGTGGCGGCGTGAAGGGCAGAGAGCAAATCCTGTCCATGTTGTGGAGACACACACAGGCGTAAAGCCGGGCATCATGGAAAGGGCAGCCATCGGATATGCATTCAAATCGCCTTTAATAGTGCTTCGGTAGACTTTGACGGCATGGCGATACGTCACAGGCATTCTGCATTCGCATGTTCTACCCCTTACGGCACAGCACTCAAGAACAGTGTTCCAACAAGATAATACACATCCTCATATAGCACATGTGTTTATGGAATGCCTAGAGCATGTTGAGATCCTCCCGTGGGCAGCAAGATCCCCAGATCTCTACATCATTGAACACGTGTGGGATGACATGGGAAGGGGAATTCTGTCGCAGTACCAACCTACAGGATCTAGAGAAACATACGCAACAGTCGTGGACGAACGTGCCTCAGGAGAGGGTCGAAAGGCTATTTGACACCATTCCAAACCTGATAAGGGTAGAGGAGGTGCAACACTGCACTGCGAACAGCTTTGTCATCCGAATTTGGAATCAGTTCAATAAAGTCACATTGTATTACAGCACAGTTTCGTTCACTTCCAACCGTTCGTTCTTGGGGCTTAACATTTTTAGTCAGGCAATGTAAGCTCATTGAAATTGCCATTTGAATTTATTAATGAGTTAAATATTTCGCGATTTTTTCAGTACCGTGGCGAATAAGAACCGATAAATACAACAAAATTACAACAATATGTTCCTGAATTCAGTTTTTTAGAAATAAGTATTCAGTGTTTGAAAAAGAGATTAAAATACTTACTTGTTTTTTCGTTAACTCGCCTATAACCAGGGGCATCATAATACCTGGAATTGATGAAACCGTGGTACTGATGGCTATCAAGTGCCCTTGAAGAAAAATGTGCAAGTGATTAACATGAAATCGTATATCACTCGTTAACAGATATGAAACAATACTAAACGAATTAGTGAAGGGATGTCAACAAATTCTATGGCTACAAATTCTTTTACCAGCAGAGGGGCTATTGAAACGATGAAATATAGAGTTTAGCTCAGAGGCATAATTTTGCCATCAGATCCTTTTATAACGTTGTAAATGTTACCAATATCCTACAAGTAAACCGGTAATCAGATTTAATTACGGAATGGGACCTCTGTAATAATGTTTACCTTTCTAATTGGCCATATGACACAGGACTCAGTCAAAATGTTTTATAATGCACTAAATAAAAATTCAAAATAGTACCCGATTTACCCTAAAACTCCAGATTTTTTTTAGGGAAGTTAACGAATTCTGAAAGTTAATGAATTACTTATTGACTAATGACAATATACCATTATTTTACTAGTCACGACGAATGAATCATTTCACATGCGACGATGGAACACAAAATTACGAGAACATTAATTTATTTTTAAATCAATCGTTCTACTGAGCTGAATATCAATCGATAATAGATTTCCATAAAGTGCGGAAGAAGTCTGTCACGTTCCAAAACTACTTGGCCATTTTGGAAATTATGGCCGAACAAGATTAGTTTCACACTGAACAATCGTAGAACAATTTGTTGTTGGACATTTCTAAAGATTATATTTTATCTCTCTGGGCGGACATTCTGTGTTGGGACATTTTGGAACGGATATTTTTCTGAATGTGAAAGAGTATCTGGGAAGCTGACCCCAGGGTTTACGTTTTAATACTTGCCCATCAATGGAGATGAGGGGTTAGTGAGGGACTCCAACGCTTTTAAATACATGTTTAGATAATAAATTGTTGCCAATTATGTCAACTTTTACTGTTTCATCGTTTTTACTATTAGAATCTTTTCTTCCCTAAGTGATGCTTTCATTGAACAGTTATAGGTTGTCTACAAAACCCGTCGAAGTTGTTTTAATGTATAATCGCTTCGCGGGAATTCCGGCGTTTTCTTACAGCCAGGTCTGTTCATAAACAACATTAAAATCTTATTTTAGTAGTATTGACAATGTAGATAACAGTAGTACAGTCATGGCAACATAGTAAATGGTGATCTAGTTAGTAGTTAGAGAGAGAAAGAGAGGAGGGAGAGACAGACAGAGAGAGAGAGAGAGAGAGAGAGAGAGAGAGAGACAGACAGACAGACAGACAGACAGACAGAACTGAAAATATTTGAACACAAACTCGGAGAAAATTATTTTGAATTTTGTTAAATATGTTACGTTAAATGTTTTATAAAATATGTTATATATGTTATATTAAATATATGTTTTTGAACAAAATGTTAAATTAATTCTGAAATATGTAACATTTTCTTTCAATTATATTGCAATTGATTGTTGAGCGCGCCGCTGCCACGCCTCCCATTAATTTTCTCCGTTTCCCGGAATGATATTGGTATGGGACTCTAATATAATACGTCATCTACATTATTTAAATTTTTTAAAGTAAGGCAAATGTTTACCTCCAAAGTTCGGAGAAAGATCGATGTGGTTGGGCAGAAGACCCACCCATCCCATTCCCAAAGCAGCAACGCATAAGGACATCAGAGAAATACCAGCTGTATAGTTACACTCAATAAACCCCAAAGCTCCGAGGGAAAACGCTGGCACGAGTGAACCTGAAACAACACACATTATAAAATAGTGTAATACGAATACCTGAAAATTGTTTTACAAAATTTACAAAATATAAATCTGGGGCTTGGTGTAAGAAGAGTCAATGCGAATATTCAAAGTTTCACAGAATGGGTGGTTTTCTTATACCATCGAAATGACAAAACAATCGAAGGCCAACGTAAAGATCGATAGTGAAATCAGATACAATCGACTTTTGACTTAGACTTTTCTTGCTCTGAAAGAAGGGACTTTAAAGCGCATATAGACCTTACAAACGAAAATCATTAACATTGGTCATTCTTTCACTAAGCCGTAGAAATATTTACACACTAAAACTTAAGAACTGGTATTTGGTCTTATGCCACATTTTCGTCATAATTATGACAATCCTACTATTCGTTTTTTCAAACCTAAAACCTTCCACTTCGCAGTTTCAAGCTGGTGTTCCATCTTCAATTATACACATTAATTATAACATCACTGTCTCAGTTTCTCGTGGATGGTGCTAACATTTAAAACTTCGAACTCTGCGACAACAAAATTCAGAGTGTGAGTGAGAAATATCACAAGAGACTTATCTATACAGTAGGGGATGTTTAATGATCGAAAGGTCAAGTAGAACAGTCACAGAAAGAAATTAATAATTTAGAATTCTCCCATAAATTGAAATAAAACTGAACACCCTCTGGCCTTATGAGAAGTGACTGTAGTTTTATTAGCTACCCAGAAAATCAGCGAAAACAAATGAAACATTTGATTTTGTCGGGAAAATGCAAATATTTGATTGTGATATTCACCTATTCTCATACTGCGCGTTCCGCCTGAATTCTCGTACTCTGAGCATCACTGTTTACAAATCAGCTTGGCGCCACCAAGGCTCCAAGTAAGAGGTCGTCAGCCATTAAATATTTGCCATTCACTTGTTTCGTTGTGAAACAGCAACTTTGTTTAAATTCTCGAAGTGCAAAGAACTCTTCTACTGTGTATCCATCTACACCGTACAAATGTTTAATTTATACGATTTTTTTCGTTCTTGGGAAGTGTGCGTGCTATGTTTTGGAAAATCACATTTTGAAAACGAGGCATTTTACAGCATTATAAAAATTAAGATTTAGAATTCTAATGCATTTATTATTATTATTAACTTGTTTGGCCACATTGGAAAATTTGAGTCGTTCCACTTCACTTTTACTGTTCGTGTCCGACTGTCGAAGGTATCACCTTGAGGTGGGGATACATCCTCGAGTTACAATTCTGAATGTTATTCAGAAAAGTGATAATGAGAGATGGAGGATGATGGATGATAGGGGGTGAAAGGTCGAACAGAATACAACCATGCCCGAGGTGGGACTCGAACCCGCGATCTTTCAGTACGAGATCGCTACGGCACTACTGCCTTTGCGATCTCGACCACCGGATCGGCCTTCTAATGAATTTATTAATACAATTATTATTAAAAGGGGGAATATTTGAGGGAAAAAATACTTTAATTGTTTTTTTTAGATTTCCCCAAAATCAAAATATAAGATAAACTAGTTTTCGTTTTTTTTCGCTTCATTTCGTTCACCATTTTTGAACTTCAACCAATTGAAAAGCGTAAGAAGAAACGTGTGCACAGTAGGGGGGCCTTCTTCTTCCCTTCATATTCTCCGAACAGCGAACTGAGGAAGCTTGACTCATTGAGATGACCCTGAGTACTCAGGCTTTCAGGATAAGTTTTTTAAACTTGTTTTTATTTTTTTGTTCTTTGTTTAGTCAGGTTTATCGTAATTATAAATTAATAAACGCATCTACTCTGAAATTACATGTTTTCAAACATCTGTGTTGTTGTCGATGTCGCATCCCTAGTTAGAGAACACCCTTAGTTAGAACCGAAGGACATCATAAAACGCAATTTAGCAATTACATCACAGATTCATTACCATTTCACACTTTGTACGTAATTTCTCATTTTGCGATCGATTTCGAACTTCATCACAGATTGACCTCCTTCAGAAATATACAGCACCGACCGTCAAAGTAATTACAATGTTTTCAGGGTTTAGTAACATTTCACATTTTTTAACATTTGTTCAAATCTACCACCTCCATACATTATGTTCACATCTCAGATCGTGTGTCACCTATTGCCGTGGTGACCTGCCGCGCTGTCGTCGTGGTGAGCACCCGATTGGTGAGGCACATGTCCATTAACGACCCCATCACGAAGCTCACGAGCATGTTGAGGATGAATGGCACTGTCGACCAGACGGCGTTCTGCAGCACGAAAAATCAACACTTTGTTCGGCTGTATTTAACATCAAAAACAGTTGAAACTGTACGTGGCATTCTATTAGGAGGAGGCAATCTGTACACGGTTTCTTGAGCTCAGGGATACCTACCATAACTTATATACATATTGCATTGAATAATAAATACCGGTAAATCCGAACGTTTTGGCCAGAAGTTAACAGAAAATATTCACTCTCGTGTAATTGAAGTGTTTACAAGAGGAAATCAGCTACTGGTAAGTATTGGCAATTAAATCTTACCGTCCCCTTCGTGACGAAATCGGCTTTCTGCCCCGAGAACATCGAGTGTTTGAATAACTTCATTTCCATTGATCTCAAGAAATAGTGCTCAGAGAGTGAAGCTACGTTTGTGTCTTAAAGCAAAACAAGGTGTCAGCTCAGCATTTGCTCAAATAATCATGGAAACAAGGCTAAAAACTCGATTGAAATCGGGTCCCGAAAGCTGAGGTACAATATACGCTAATGGGCATTTTCTGTTTTAGAAGTATTCAATACAAATTTTAAATGATACATTAATGTACAGAAAGTCTCCCCGCACCGAGCCAAGTCAGAAGCTAGCACCGCCGCCGCTTCCGCTCTCACCATTGCCGCCGTGTGGGGCGCTAGTGTCGCTTGCGTGCCGTCTCCCCCTCCCCGTTCCCGCGCTACTCGCCCCCGCACCCTCGGACGATGAAGCGCTATCTGGTACTCGAGATACCAACTTACTTTTTACGGCCTTGTTGACCTGTTCATTGAGAACCACCATGATTTACCTCCTCCAAATTGCGGTGCAGCACGTCCTTCATGAACTTGGGCGTGTACGTCTGAGTCATATACCACACGGTGTCGTTGCAAAAAATCCCGAACAACAACGCCCAGTAGGGAACAGATTGCACCACATCGTTACAAGGGAAGATCATCTGCTGAAACACGTAATACAGGGCAGGGTGTAACTACGGGATTGCTCGAAGTTCTAATAAGTTATTCAACGTGCAATCTACAGGTGTCTTGGAATAAATGTTACGAAATTCTAGCGCATGTTGAAGTATCGCAAATGATCACCCTTGGCCAATGAACATGTAGTGCAAAATTTGATATATGTAATTACACATTTGCCTGTGATTCCTCATGTACCAGTTCGGCGTTCCGCCTTCGTTCTCCTTCTTTTCCACCCACCCTCTTCTTCTCCTCCACTCAACTCCCCCTCACCGCCCTCACTCTCCCTGTCGTATTACTCGGCCTTCACCACATTCTGGATTTTCGTCGGTAGCTACGTAACTAGGTCGAATGCACGCGCCGTCAGGGGGGCAAGTCTGACAGTCGGCTAGGCAGATCAGTAGTTTTCCCTTGTTTCTGCTATCAACACCAGGTGAATGCCGGAGCACTTCCCTAACAAACGGGACACGGAACGCACGCGATCTCTCATTCCTGTTCCTTGTCCTATCCTCACCACATACTCACGGAAACATGCACCACACTATCGTATATGCGGAGAGAACCTGTCGGGTGCTTGGAGATTGTCCCGGGTGGGGCGATGCCTGCCGGTCGGAGATACATGGTTGGGAAAAACTCAGTACACGTGTGGGTTGGCGTCGGATCTCACCATCTAGCGGAGAGATATCACCGCCACCTCCCGAGGCAAAAACAGGCACCAGACTTACGGGACTATGACCTTAGCAGTTGACGGTCCAGGAATCACTAATCAATCAAACCAAGCATGCCAGGGCTTGCTTCATATTCAATCTTTGTGAAAGAGTAAAAAGATCCATTTTGTATTAACCACGGTGTTTGACCAATTTTCTTTCATTTTATTTGAGAGACCATTGCTATTAGATTAAAACAATTTATCCTACCCACTGCTAATGCTCTCTATCGAAACTATTAGGTATCGGTTCTGCTCTACCGCTACTAGCTCTAGTGGAATTTAGCAGGAATTTTCTCTTAAAGACGAATTTTCTCTTAAAAACAATCACAGTGCATCTACCAACATATTAATTAAATTATTCATTTTCAGCATTTGTGTTGTATTAATATATCTCAAACTTTGCGAGGACACTGCTACAATCCAGCAAAATAGCACATAAAAATGAATATTCATACATTTATTTTTGTGGTACGATACCGCTTAAATGCCTCTGAATTCACTTTGATTAGTATATGTTTACTAGTACTACGTGTTAGTTGGCGAAATGTGAATATTTTCGATCCCTCTAGATGCCCTAAAAGTTGGTAACATTTATTTTGGAAACATCGTCTATTACTGTATCGTATTGTATTAACCTTCCCTATGTTGCTATCGAGGTTCTTGCCCTGCTCATTTAGAATATAGGCAAGTTCTTCCTCGGAAATTGTCTTGCATTTGCCGGGATTGTCTGCGACGAAGATGGCCCATACGATACACCAGGGAATGAACAGGACGGCCAGCAGGTAGAACACCCAGGGCCAGTCCAGGTATTTAGCAATCATGCCCGTGAGCAGATAGGTAAGAACCACGCCCATTGAGAATCCTGGGGAAATAGATATTTGTGTAAAGTGACAAAAAAATAGAAGCACAACAAACAAATATCTTAAATTCATTCTACTCGCCGCTTGCTAGCAAAATAATTATCCTCCACAATCCTAAGAAGCTAGACGCCTCAATGCCACAAAACTATCTCCACAAAACCAAATAATTAAGATCCTAAACCGAAGATGCTATGTGCTTCTAGGACGTGTATAGTACACAGTGTGAATTGCACAATTGCTATGTGCTTCTAGGAAGATATAGTTCACAGTGTAAATTTCTGAAATCAGAGCTCTGGTTTTAGCTATTAAAACGTACAATTATTGTAAACCAAGCTTCTTTATGATAAAGAAGGGGTAAAACCCACGATTTAAATGAGAAAGTTTGATAATATGTTGAAGTTATAATATTGTCAAATAAATAAGTCGTATCAGATCTCTTAAAAATGTGACGCGAGTTTTGTGAATACTGTAGCCAGATCGCACCATGCCACTACATAAACGATTAAACATGAAAAAGACAAATTAAAATAATTTATGGGTATAGGCCTGGGATGGACTGTGTGATAAGATTGTTCATTAGTTTAAGTGATTTTAAAATGTAAATCTTGCTCAAGTTCGTTTTTTCTACAACATTAAGACGTTTTTCTTTCGACATTTCGAACACACTTCTTAAGCGCGTAACTACAAACTGAACATGCGCTGCACTGACGAACTAAAGTCGTAGGACATGTTAATTACACGAATTCCAGAAGGAAGTTATTTTTTCCACGGTAGTAATACTCTCATTCCAAATTAAACAATACTAGACCAATTTTTAGAAGTATAATAACAGTACGTTTTTATTTCACAGAAAACAAAGTCCGATCAAAAAATGAGTTCGATATGTACAAATAATTGTCGATACATCGAAACGTTTAGAATTTTGAAGGGATAGAAAAATTCGATTTATAGAAAATTTCCATATACAGAGGTTTGATATATGAAAGTCCGTTTGTACATTGATTCTTGTGACTTTAATTTTTTGCATAATGTCATTGAATTGTACATAGATGTTTCAATAATATCATGCACTTTCTTTAAAAATTTGAACAATTTTTTACTAATAACGCTACATGGAAGAAAAATTTCGGTACGACGCTCATTCCCAATAGTTTTTAATATTATAGACGGAAGTGAAGTCGAGATAGTGCCTCACCTGCGTAGACTATCGCCGACAAGATACTCCTCTCATTGGGCGGAGCCCAGCGTGAAGTCATCACTACCATACACGGCAGCGTCATACCCTGCACGGTTCAATTCTTCAGAAAAGTGCACAGGAAAGTAGGCACCAACAAACAAGCACACGAGAAATTATCAGATGAGTGAATCAATAGGAAAAAGAAATAAGTATGGAGAAAGAGTGCGAAAAGGAGAAAATGAAAAACAAAGACAATGATAATGAAATGCGGTGTGTAGGAAGGAACGGATGGAGAGGAGAAAAAATACATTAAGAGTTTTCCAGAGAGTATATATGGAGTTTTATTGCTTGTATTTCTCCTTAATGAGTCTGAGAATAAGGAGAAACTAGATAAGAAGTGGAAGAAGAAACAAGATAATATGAAATACGAGGCGGATGTGAAAATGTATATTAATAATAAAGAGGAGTGAAGGAAGCTGGAGACGATGAGGAAAACAAATGGACAAAGAATAAAATAAAGAGGTAGCAGATGACAATAAAAGACTAGGAGGAGTAAGCAATATGAAGATACGATGGAGGCGAGTGAAAGGACTGGAAAGGGAAGAAAAACAAAAGACAGAGAGAGGGAGTGGTGAAGTAAGAGGGAGAGTAAGAAGAGAAAAATGAGACGGAGGAAAAAGAGGAAAGTAGAAAGAGATGAAGTCGGGAAACGGAAAGAAGGAGGAAAGAACGAAAATACGGTAGGGAGCGAATAGAGGACGAGGTGAACGGGCAGAAGGTAAGAAGAAGATGGATAACAAAGAGAGGAGAAGGAAGAAAAAGAAAAAAAAGAGAGAAGAGAAGAGCGAGGAGGAAGCAAAAATTGAGACACATGAGCCGAGGGGGCGGAAAAGGACGTGAATGAAGAGGATAAGAGGAGAAGATGGGCAAGGATGGTCGAATAAGGAAGATAAGAAGGTGGATGAGGATGCAAACTGACCCGCGCAAAGGTCGCTCAGGACAGCAACTGATGTTACTGCAGTGCCTTTGAGCGGGAGGTCCTAAGATTCGAATTCCGACAACGGCAGATTTTCCGTTACGAACTAGACAGCTACAGGGAATTCAGCCGCTGTCTGGGGAAGAATTCTAACGCCGGCCACTCTGATCTCGAGTTTTCTGTGATTTCGCCGACCAACGTAGGCGAATGCCGGAGCCGTACCCTAACAAACGGGCCATTTGCCAAGCGCGATTTCTCCTCCTTGTCGTATCCTCACCTTTCTTACACACACGTACACTTGCACGCACCACAGTATCATATTTGGCGGGAGAACCGCCAAAACTTGCCCCAGCTGGCGTGCTGCCACGATGGTGGGAGATATATGGTTAAGGAAACAAGATCAAAGCAGTGGATTTTTAAAGGATGAAACATTATTCGCACGCCTTCCTTCGGAGGGGAAGTAAAGCCGGCTGTCCCATGTTAGTAGATTTACTTGCACGTAAAAAATCCTCAAGATTAAATAAAGCCTTCGAGCTGAATCCAAATCGCCTGTTCCGTCACCCAAAATGTACCTCTTTTCAACGCTAGTGGGAGAAAGGAGCGTAGCGAAATTTGCGTGGTCAGACGGAAGAGCGGACCTCATGACCTCAGTCTCTCCACGTATAATGAGGCATCAATTCAATTCAATTCAATTCAAATTCAAAGAAAATCCTCGCAAGCCGACGTGTAGGTCGGCGCCGGAACTCGACATCCGGCGCGGGAAGAACACCGCCACCTTCCGCAACAGAAATATGCACTATACTTACGGGATCAGTGACTTTAGCCGTTGACGCGCCCGGAATCACTAATCAATCAACCAAGAGAACGGCGAGCAGGAGGAGGAGGAGGAAGTTAACGCAGATGAGCAGAGGAGGTGGAAGAGCTGGTGAATGAGAAGGAAAGGAAAGAGAAGAATACGGACAAGCAGAAACGAACAAGGAAGACGAGAAGGAAAATAGAAAGACGAGAAGGGCGAGGGGTAGGAGAAGTTTGCGGCCAATGAGCAGCACACGGGGAGGAAAGAGTACTAGTAGGTG